TCTATCCAGGATCTCCTACATAGATCCCCCTCTGAGTGGTTGACAGTGGTAGCCAGGCACCATCTAGTTCTTCTGGTCTCACAGTCATATAGGCTGTGGATCACATGGTGTACAGTCACTAGGACTAATTGTTTTCATGAATCTTTGCTTTTCTTCATTCTTCTTTGCTCTAGACGAGGAAAGACCCATTGTTGCATCTAGATGGCTGCTTGCAAGCTTTTACGATCCCAGTTACTACTCACCAAAGTAGGAGGTGGAACAATGTTTTGTGTAGTATGTTATGCCAATTGAGCTTGATGTCCCCTGTGACTAGGGTCCGAAGCCCACAGGTTCAACTACTTGCTCCCTCTGGGTAGCTGGCTGTCACCAAGAAGTGACTACGACCTTGTCCCTTGTCAGCTCTACTATACATCTGGGAATTCTTTCAGAACATACAAATACACTTGTAGAACCATTGTTTGCCAACCCTATACATGGTCTTGGGTACACTCCCCGCTGCACAGACACAGCTAATAGTTCAGCCTGTATGTGCAAAAGGGTTCATCTTTGTTGTCTGCACCTCCCATGTACCTCTCTGTGTCTTCCTCTTCCTCTTCCTCAATGCCACCGTGTTGATCAGTCACATTTGGTACATTGCCCCTCTCTTCACCCAAATCAATACTTATCTCTACCTATCTAACAGTGTTCCCTACACTCCCCTCCCACCCCTGATGACCAACAAAGAAAATTTCCCTCCATATAAAAATCTTTCCTTGACTTTTACAATAACGGACTAATACAATATTTGTCCTTCTGTGACCGACTTATTTCCTCAGCATAATGTCTCCAAGTTCACCCACCTTATGTGGTGTTTTGCAGATTCTGTTATTCTTTAGTGTTGCTTAGTATTCCATTGTGTGTATGTACCAAAGTTTGGTTATCCATTCCTCAGTTGATGGACACCTAGATTGTTTCCATCTTTTTGCTATTGTTAATAGTGATGTGATGAACATGGGTGTGCATCTGTCTGTACTTGTCATGGCTCTTACTTCTTTAGGATATATACCTAGTAATGGAATGGCTGGGTCAAACGGTATTTCTAATTCCAACATCTTAAGGAATCACCATACTGCTTTCCACAGTGGTCATACCATTTTACAGTCCTATCAGCAGTATATGAGAATCCCAATCTCTCTGCATCCTCACCAGCATTTGTTATTTTCTGTCTTGTTGAACTTTGCTACTAGTACTGGGGCAAGATGGTATCTCATTGTTGTTTTGATTTGTATCTCTCTAATGGCTAATGATTGTGAGCATTTCTTCATATGTTTGTTGGCCACCTGAATATCCTCCTTGGAGAAGTGTCTATTCATGTCTTCTGCCCATTTTTTAATTGGATTATTTGTCTTTTTGTTAGTGAGGTGTTGGAGTTTTCTATAAATGCTAGAGATAATCGCTTGTCAGATATGTCATTGCCAAATATTTTTTCCCAATCTATAGGTTCTCTTTTGACTCTTTTGGAAAAGTCTTTAGAAGCACATAAAAATTTAATTTTTAGAAGGCCCCATTCATCTAGTTTCTCTTCTGCTGTTTGTGCATTTTGGATTATGCTTGATAGTCTATTTATGCCGTATATTACCCACTGTCATTGAGTTAGGTCTGACTCGTAGTGACCCCTCCTTGGGTTTCTGAGGCAGTGTCACTGCAGAAGTAGATTGCCTAACCTTCCTTCTGGGGAGTGATGGGTGGGTTTGAACCACCAGCCTTCTGGTTAGCAGTCAGATACCTTAGGCACTATGCCACCAGATCTGCCATATATTAGGGCCCCTAAATTTGCCCCTAGTTTTTCCTTAAGGAACTTTATAGTTTTAGGTTTCACATTTAAGTCCTTGATCCATCTGGAGTTAGTTTTTGTGTATGGTGTGAGGTACAGATCTTGTTTCATTTTTCTACAAATGTATATCCAGTTTTGCCAGCACCATTTATTAAACAAACATTCTCTTTCCCATTTAATGGATTTTGGCCCTTTGTCAAAGATTAGCTGACCATAGGTGGATGGATCTATTTTTGGGTTCTCAATTCTGTTCCATTGGTCTATGTGTGTGTCATTGTACCACTACCATGTCCTGAGCCTTTTGATAAAGAGATTAAATAAACCAAAATATAAAACCCAAACCCATTGCCATCTGACTCATAGTGACCCTATAGGACAGAGTAGAAGTGCTCCATAGGGTTTCCAAAGCTGTAAATCTTTACACAGGCAGACTACTAAATCTCTTCACCTTGGAGTGGCTGTGGGGTTCAAACCACAGACCTTTCAGTTAGCAGCTGAACACTTAACCACTGAGCACCAACAGGGTTTCTGGTATTAGACAAATAATTCAATGTCTTCTCATTGCCAAGAAACTACTCTTGGCAGGAAAGCTGGAGTATAAAGAATGCTTTTGGTCTGGAGTGGTTCGGATAAATTTTATGTATGGATTTGTGGCTCTAATGGACTTTGGAAGGAGCTCTGGTGGTGCAGTGCCTAAGGCATTTGACTGCTAGTTCAAACCCATCACAGAAGGAAGATGGGCAGTCTACTTCCGTAAAGATTTACTGCCTCAACCTATACAACTATGAGACCAGAAGAACTAGATGGTGCCCAGCTACCACTGCCATCCACTTGGAAGGAATGTAGGAGATCCTGCATAAAGAGGGAGAACAATGTGGAACAAAACTCAAAATCATTTGGAGGC